ATATATATCTGTTCCGTTGTAATTTTAATTTTAAATTGTTTTGCATTATATGGCGGTTTGCTGTTTTCTGGGTTTTTCCCATTTGCCTTTCAAATATTATTAATTACTATGATTTCCAAGCTGCAACCTATAAGCTTTTCCAGCTTATCTACAGCTCTACTATGAGTGAGCGTTTCAGTCAGTTGTATGAGATAAAGTGCCTGGGGGTTAAATCACTTATATAGGTCTCCGTGGTCAAATGAATATGGCACTCACCCTGACCGCGAGAGATTGTATCGATTCCCGCCAGTGACACTACTTTTCAAAAAAACTTTCGTTGAAGGGCATTATTATTTATCTATTTGTTAAAATTGTGTTTACGGTGCTATGTAGCAAACATTATTTGAATTTTATTTAATATGATTTCTAAACTGCAACCTATAAACATTTCTAGCATTTCCACTATGTGTGAGCGTTTTAGTCAGTTTAATGAGAGAAAGTGTATGGGTGTTAAATATACACGTATATACTATAATACGTCTCCGTAATCAATGGATATGATACTTACTCTGATAGCGAGAGGCTACAGGTTCGAATCCCGCCAAACATTTTTTTTTTCTTTCATACAACTGATTAAAAATGAGCTTTTCGTTGAAGGGCTACGATTATGTCAACTTGTTGCTATGTGAGCACTGTTATTATTATTTATCCATTTGTTTATATTGTGTTTACGGTGCTATGCAGCAAACCTTACATAGGCCTATATATATAATAAGTGTATATATATATATGTATATATATATATATATATATATATATATATATATATAGGATATAAGTGTGTGTGTGTGTGAGTTTTTCAGTCAATTTCAGTCACTATATATGTGTGAGCCCTCAAGTTGTAATGAGAACTAGTGGTCTTCAGTTCGTAATGATATCGTACAGTCCTATGTAATATTCTAAGTGGTCGAGATATCGAGACATTGCATGTTCGATTCCCACCAGAAAGTGGAAGGAGAGTTTAATGTTTATTTCTATGTTGTATTATAATTCATTTAAAAAGTAAATTTTTGAAGATCCCGTTTTGTCGTTTAATGCTGAAGGAGAGGGTGTAGGAGTCTGAGCGCTTCACATTACCGTATTATACCCCGGTCATTGGATTAAACGCCTATAGAACACAAACCAAGCTCCCTGAGGCAGTATTCCATAACGTTGCAGCAGCTACATCAGCACATTTTGGCATTTAACCCTACCAGGTACCCATTTATGCAGATAAAATACCTTTCCCAAGTGGAATGCACAACTGGGGAATTGAAACCCGGACCTTAAGGTTGGGAAACCAAACAGTTCCTACTGCGCCAAACCACTTCTACGATATTAGATAGATATTATCGATAATATACCGCTAATACCTTTCAATACTGCTTCCAATCGACGTGAAAGGGTATGCAGTCTTTGGATTTATGTTGTGTTTTTGCAGCTGCGATAATATTCCGAGATAAGTTTCCTTCGATGTTTTACAAAGTTTGGAGAGCCAAATTATTGATTGGCCATAAACTTTAAACCTTTTCAACATTTCTTCAAAACATGGATTCGATGAATTTTCTAAACAAGAGGTGGCAGTCCGTGAAAGTTGAAGATTTAATGAAACAAAGTCGTGTCTGTATCCAACGTCTTTTTCGAATCCTAAAATTGGCGCGATGTTCGAACGCAATACAAACTCATGTGAATCGATTTCGCATCCACAAGAGCTATTGAGTAGGATGCCAGAATTTCCAATGACTGCACAAGACCGTTTTTTCGGAACTGTCGAAAATATCTTTGGAGCTTCTTTCCATTTTGCATTTTGAATCAAAGTAATTGACAGCGCTTTAAAGTCATCTCTTGATTGTTCTTGATTTTTTCTCCTCTTTATTCGTCGCCTTCGTAGTATCGTTTTTAGTTTCTTCTTTTTCATTGTTTGATTTTCAATCAAAATGACAAGTTTGTGTGGAAGAAAACGTCTCAACGAGTACAATCTAAAAATAGAATTGATAATTAATTAATGCATAGCAAACCAACAATAAAAAAAAAACTCCTGTCGTCCCATTACTTTATCTAGTATCATCCTTTTCATCTCGTCTCAGTGGCCATAGCCCAGCAAACACAACACGCTAATAAGAAAAACAACGTTAGCAAAACGTTGTAACAACGTTACTTATAAAATTCTAATAGGTCTACAATTACCGTTGTAAACTGCAAGTTTATAATCGTATTAACGTTAATAATACATAAATTGAAATTTGTTAACTGGGAAACTTGTACACTTTCAGTTGATCTAACTTTATATATAGAACAAATGTGATTTTTAAAACTTTTTTCAATTCTAAATATTGTGCCAATATGTAGAAAGTAATAATGAAGCGCCATGATACGTGTTATCACATCACACAGGTACAGGTACTACATCACACAGGTACTACGTTTTTGTCCGTTTACGTAAAAGTGTTATAAAATAAAGATCTGTCTATGTTTATTGTCTACTTACGTTTTCTCGATTGCTGAATAACTAATGTTAAAATCTTAACTATCAGACTAATTAAACTGTTTAGACGTCCAGTAGTTTCTACAGAATAATTTGTTTACAATATTGTTTTGATTTGATTTGACTTATTCAATTTAGGCAATAAAATGACGTTACAATACACATAGATACGAAATGAATATTAAAAGAATACAAATTCCGAGGATTGTCAAAGGCAAACTGAATCACTGTTAAATACTCGCCTTTAACAGAATTTAACTTAAATCTATATCAATAATTAAAATATAATAATTAAGTATTTACCAAATCAAAATTAAATAAATTATAAGATTAGGCGGGAAGGAAAATAATGTTGAAAACTTTCCAAAAATAACACGGTCTAGCAAACAATCCGGGCCGGGGGCCCGGGGGCTCACTCTTAATTATTTCTATACGGGTAGGTGCTGCATTTAAGAGGGTATTTTTGAGGACTTGGTAGCACAAGTGTATGAATTTATGGAAGAGTTTCATCATGTATAGGGTATATTTGTGAGGACTTGGTAGCACATGTGTGGGAAATACCAGGTAAAATTGGTAGTTAAAGTGTCCTGCCCCGTCCCGTATCATCAAAGCAGTATGATTTTTCTCACGATTTGTTTTTCTAAATCTGTGCCAAACCTACAGTAGAGATCGCGAACGGACATAACTACGGTCTTATTCGCCATCGGAAACCAGAACAAGTTTAATTTGTTAGGTTAAATGGTCGTAATAGTAGTTCAACCGATACTGGATTTTGGTAAATGGTAGTTCAAGTCCCTAATTATTTTCAGTAGAATAGGTAGCGCAAGTGTCTCATGTCTTGGAGTGGCTACTGCACACCCCCGTAAGGTTGGTATGCAAGTGAACCCCAGGGGCCGGGGGACGGGAGGGGGTATTGGTTGCTAAGTGTTACACCATCAGTAAACTCATTTGATCACTAGTAAAACTATTTTAGTGATTTATTTATTTGGATTTTAGTGATTTATTTCGCTGCTGCAGTGCTTTGGGAGAGTGAGGGTCTCTGTCCACTCCTCTCTTCCCCAACCACGCATGCTGGATTTGCTACAGCAGGGCTTCAGTATCTAATAACGAATGTCGGAAAACAATTATACAAGTTTGTGTGGAAGCAGACGTCTCAAAGAGCACAATCTCATAATAGAATTGATAATCAACTATTGCATAGCGAATCAGCAATCATAAACTTCTGTTGTACCATTACTTTATCTAGTATCATCATTTTCATCTCGTGCCAGTGGTCATAGCCCAGCTAGCAAACGCAACAAGTTAATTAGGAAAACAACGTTAGCAAAACGTTGCAACAACGTTACTTATAAAATTATAATAGGTCAACAATTACCGTTGTAAACTGCAACTTTATAATCGTATTAACGTTATTACCTCCGCTAATGAAGTTAGCAGGAGGTTATGTTTTTGCCCCTGTTTATTTATTTATTTGTCTGTCGGCATATTTGTTGTGAACAGCCACAGCCCATAGTTTTTATCCGAAATTCATCAAACTTGGCGACAATATTCCTTTACCTAAGATCTAGAGCTGATTACATTTTGAAGGGTCAGGGTCTAAAGCAGGGGTGGGCATAAAACAGTGGTGGCGCCAGTGGAGGCCAGGGCCCCTCCCCCCCCCCCGTCGGGGAGAAAAGCACAATTCGTCAGGAAGAAAAAGAATTATATGTATTTTCTATATATCAGTAAACTATAAAATAGATTAAATAAGCCTTTGAAATCCATAAAAATGTCAAAACACCCACGACCACATTCGAAACCTTTTAATCGAAGCTAGACCACGCCCACTTTGCTTTCATCTGGGAAATCTGACTCCTCGTCGAGGGATCGGCCCCTGGTCGGGAACCTTTGCCCCCCGTTGGGTAAATCCTGGCGCCACCCCTGGCATAAAAATCGGTCGGAGGGCCAAATTGAATATTCGATTTAACACCGAGTGCGCACCCAAACTTTGAAGTTTCGAGTGACCTTCCAAAACCTCCAAGCACTGCATTTAAACCACTTTATTCTGAGTTTAATGTTTAATGTTACTGTTTACATATGATCGGTTTCAGGCCACGAAACACAGCCGTCGGCCCGCACTTTGTCCACCTGTGGTCTAAGGTCAAGGTCACACTCAACGAAAAACTATTTTTTTTATTTATTGTCGACAGTCCATAGTTTTAATTACAAACTTGTCAAACCAAAGATCTCATTACCTACGCCAACGAAGTTGGCAGGAGGTTATGTTTTAGACCTTGCTTATAATGTTATTTACTTACTTACTTATTTATTTATTTATTTGCCTGTCGGCATACTTGTTGTGAGCAACCTACAGCCCATAGTTTTTATTAGAAATTCGTCAAATTTGGCTACAATGTTCCTTCACCTAAGATCTAGATCTGATAAGATTTTGAAGGGTCAGGGACAAAGGTCAAGGTCACAATCAACGACAAACTCTTTTTTTTATTTATTTGTCTTTAGGCGATAGATAGTCACGAACTTGTCAAACTTGGTCACAATGTTCCATGACCAAATATCTCAAAGTATGTGAATGTTGAAGGGTAGGTCAAGGCCACAATCAACAATCATCGATTTTCTGAAACAGTTTTTATGAGAAATTTGTCGAACTTGGTCACAATGTTCCTTAACCAAAGATCTGAAAGTGACTAAATTTTTAAGGTTCAGGGTCAAAGATCAAGGACACAATGATCGAAAAACTATTTAAGTTAAGTATAACTGTCTCCTGTATGGACGTGTGTGGGTGGGTGTGTGTGTGTGTGTGTGTGAGGTGGGCTTGTCTGTAAAGTGTAAACAAACTTATGACCATTAATTTCAAAGTTATATAATTATGTGAAAACAGTTTGGTGTAGTGGTTATAAGAGTGTTTTCCACACTACCAGCTCCGGGTTCTAATTCCATGGAAACTACTTGTTCTTTTATTTTTTTTAATGGGGATATTAATGCGAGGGAAATTTATACTGAGGAGAATCATAATGTGGGCGGAGGTACAGTTTGCACTCTCCGTGTGCCCTCTAGTTAATACATAAATTTCTTTGCTAGGAAACTTGTACACTTTCAATTGATCTAACTACATTTATATATGAAAAATATAAGCGACTTTTGAACCCTTTTTCAATTCTAAATATTATGCCAATATATCGATGGTAATAATGAAGCGCCATAAGTGTTATAACATTACACAGGTTTACTACGTTTTTTCTCCGTTTACGCAAAAGGGTTCTAAAATAAAGATCTGTCTATGTTTAAAATTCTACTTACGCTTTCTTGATTGCTGAATAACTAGTGTTGAAATCGTAATTATCAGACACATTAAACTGTTTAGACGTCCAGTAGTTTCTACAAAATAATTTGTTTACAATATTGTTTTGATTTGATTTGATGTATTCAATTTAGGCAATAAAATGACGTTACAATACACGTAGACACGAAATGAATATTAAAAGAATACGAATTCCAAGGCATGTCAATACTCTCCTTTAATATAAATCTATATAAATAATTGAAATATAATAATTAAGTATTTACAAAATAAAAAAAATGTAAGATTAGGCGGGAAAATAATGTTAAAAACTTTCAAAAAATAACACGGTCTAAAAATCAATATATTGGTTTCCGGGCGGGGGGAGGGGTGCTCATTTGTTCACTAGGAATAGCGTCAACTACCTACTAAATTTTTTCCTGGACTTTTGAGGCAGTGTCGATTGGTGGCGCTATAGGTTTCGGCAATAAAATCATGAATATTAATTTTCAGAGCGGTTTTGATACCTGCGATGCGAGATAAGCAACGCTCCAGTATGTTTAGTGTCTTTTTGAGATGGGGTGATGCCAGTATAATAGAAAACAAGTCCCACTGGTTACGAGAAATCAACTATGTTTATTATAGGCCAGTTTATTCGTAGTCATCATTATCATTAGGCCTATCGTCACCATTATTTAATTATTGTCATCGTTTTTCATGAATTACGTAGGCCTATCTGTACCTATATATTGTACTTGTGCATTTTGAACGTCAAGTAAACACACTTCATTTCGTACAATTACCCGTGACTGAGTGAATTTTGAAAAAAAAAGGGAAAAAAAAGGCCCAGACCTATGCAGTTTTTTTTT